TTTTTAGGTGCTTAAATTTTTCGTTTTCTTCAATTTTTCAATTTCAAATTTTTCCATTTTTGAATATCCAATTTCAAATTTTTTTCATTTTTTTGGGCTTCTAAATTTTCTTTGTAACACTCCGATTTTTTCATTTTTTCGATTTTTCACTTTTTTCAATTTTTAAATTTACCGAGTTTTTATTTGTGAGATTTTTGATGATTCGATTCTACAAATTTTTGTTTTTTCCATTTTACAAGTTTTATTAAAAATCTCGATTTTTTAATTCCTAGATATTTCTGATTTACGATTTTGGAATCGATCAGTTCCTGCACCATACGGTTTTTTCGATTCTTCAGTTTTTAGTTTTTAGATTAATCGATTTTAACTTTTTAAATTTTTTCATTTTTCAATTCACGATTTTTCGATCTTTCCAATCATAAAATATTCGAAGTTCCCATTGTGAGACTTTTTAATTTCTCATTTTTACATTCTTCGGATCTCTTCGTTTTTCGATTTTTATTTTGCAATTGCCCCTTTTTACAACTTTTTAATTTTTATTTTTCTATTTTGAGTTTCTCGATTTCTAATTTTTCGACTTTTCAAATTTTCTTTACAATTCCGATTTTACGACCTTACATCTTTTTCAAATTTTCAACGGCTTACTTTTTTCAATTTTTAAATTTACCGATCTTTCAATTTTTCGACCGTTTAAATTTGCAGTTTTTAAGTGCTTTCATTTTCCGTTTTTGCTATTTTTCAATTTCAAATTATTCAATTCCTGAAATTTTCAATTTTTGAACTGTTCGGTTTCAAATTTTTTTCAGTTATTCGACTTCTAAATTTTCTTTGTAACTCTCTAATCTTGTCAAATGTCCGATTTTTCACGTTTTTTCAATTTTCAAATTTAGCGATTTTTTATTTGTGAGATTTTTTGATTTTTCGATTCTACAAATTTTCGTTTCTTCCAGTTTGTAATTTTTGTTCAAATTCACGATTTTTTAATTTCTAGATGTTTCTGATTTACAATTTTGCAATCGTTTACTTCGATTTAAAGTTTTTCAATTTTCCATTTTTCAGTTTTTCGATTTTCCAATTTTTCAATTAACGATTTTTTTTAAGTTTTCGAAGTTTCAGTTGTGAGATTTTTTAATTTCTCAATTTTACATTCGTCGGATCTTTTAGTTTTTCGATTATTACTTTGCAATTATCCCTTTTTACAACTTTTTAATTTTTATTTTTGAGTTTTTCGATTTTAAATTTTTCGACTTTTCAAATTTTCGATCGTTCAACATTTCAGTTTTTCTTTTACAATTTTTCGACTTGTAAATTTTCTTTGTAGCTCTCTAATCTTGTCAATTGTCCGATTTTTCACGTTTTTTCAATTTTTAAATTTAGAGATTTTTTATTTGTGAGATTTTTTGATCACTCGATTCTACAAATTTTCATTTCTTCCAGTTTGTAATTTTTGTTCAAATACACGATTTTTTAATTTCTAGATGTTTCTGATTTACAATTTTGCAATCGTTTACTCCGATTTAAAGTTTTTCAATTTTTCATTTTTCAGTTTTTCGTTTTTCCAATTTTTCAATTAACGACTTTTTTAAAGGTTTCGAAGTTTCCGTTGTGAGCTTTTTTAATTTCTCATTTTTACATTCGTCGGATCTTTTAGTTTTTCGATTATTATTTTGCAATTATCCCTTTTTACAACTTTTTAATTTTAATTTTTGAGTTTCTCGATTTTTAATTTTTCAACTTTTCAAATTTTCGATCGTTCAACATTTCCGTTTTTTTTTTTACAATTTTTCGACTTGTAAATTTTCTTTGTAACTCTCTAATCTTGTCAATTGTTCGATTTTTCACGTTTTTTCAATTTTTAAATACACTGCGTTTCATATAAAATGCACCACCTAGAAGGAGTAGGCGTAGAATGTAGAAATTTGGTGGAGAAGACTGTTGCATATAGACAAACAATTGATTAAAATTTGAAAGAAAAACTACTACTTGTTTAGATAATATACCGAGTGTTATTCGATTTTTATTAATTTTTTGATTATGTTTTAAAGATACTTGAGTAAGATTCTTTTGCAATTTTACTTGACATTTGTCATTATTGTGCTTGCAAAAATGCTACGAGTCCACACACGAGGTAATTTTCAACAGATAACACCTATTGAAAGAGGGCGAATGATTGGGATGCATGAGGCTAGTTTACCATTTCGGGAAATCACCAGAAGACTCGGCCCAACGGATTCTACGATATTAAGAACAAGTCGAGAATGGAACAACGAAGAGCTACAAATGCGTCGCAGGGGTACCGACCGTTTCAGAGTCACCCAAGAACGCGAAGATCATTTGCTAAGAAGAAGTGTTATTCAGTACCCTTGGTAACCATAACGATCAGTCGGGATGGACTGGATGACAGCAATTGGGCACAGAATCCGAGGAGTACCATCTACCGCCAAATTCGTTCCTTTGGCTTGAGATCTTATCGTCCAAACTGCAAACTTCCCTTACCACAAGAACACAAAACTACCAGGCTTCACTGGTACCAAGACAGGCAGCAATGGCTGTAATAGTGGAATGTCATAATGTTTAGGAACAAGTCTAGGTCTTGTTTGTGGCACTCTGATGGACGCATACGTGTTCGAAGGCCTTGAGGCCAAAGGTAAAATCTGGAATTTGTACAGAGATGTCATATCGCTCTAACACCTGGAGTAATGATATGGGATGGTATACACATCTGTTGAAGTACTCCCTTAGTGTTCATTCCAGGCACGCTAAATGCCCGGCATTACATCGTTAACGTGTTAAATCAATTTCTTTTTCCTTATCTCTCGAACCGTCGAAGAACATCTTTTGAACAAGATAATGCGTGGCCTCATGTGGCCATATTAACTTAAAGAGTGTTTGACGAAAATAACGTCAACTTCTTACCCTGGCCTGCCCTATCACCAGATTTATCAACAATCGAAAATGTTTAGGATTTAATGCATAGAAGGCTGCGCAATTTACCACATCCTCCAAAGACTTTGGAAGAATGTCTACAACAAATTCAAAATGCCTGGAATGAGATACCCCAGCAGGCAATAGATCATCTCATTTTAAGCATGCCTAGAAGAATACAGTCTTGTATTCGTGCACGTGGAATTTTAACACATTATTAACATTTCTTGTGTTAGACATTTTATTTTTTCTTTGAAATTTTAATCAAATGTTTGTCTACGTGCAATAGTCTTCTCCACCAAATTTCAACATTCTACGCCTACTCCTTCTAGGTGGTGCATTTTATTTGAAACGCAGTGTATATCGATTTTTTATTTGTGAGATTTTTTGATGATTCGATTCTACAAATTTTCGTTTCTTCCAGTTTGCAATTTTTGTTCAAATTCACGATTTTTTAATTTCTAGATGTTTCTGATTTACGATTTCGCAATCGTTTAGTTCGATTTAAAGTTTTTCAATTTTTTTAATAATTTCGATTTATTTATTTATTTTATTTACTTTGCAATTATCCCTTTTTACAACTTTTTAATTTTAATTTTTGAGTTTCTCGATTTTTAATTCTTCGACTTTTCAGATTTTCGATCGTTCAACATTTCAGTTTTTTTTTACAAATTTTCGACTTGTAAATTTTCTTTACAATTCCGATTCTACAACTTTCCATCTTTTTCAAATTTTTGACTGGACTGCTCACTTTTTTCAACTTTTAAATTTACCGATCTTTCAATTTGGAATTTTGCAATTTTTGTTCAAATTCACGATTTTCAATTTCTAGATTTTTCTGTTTTAAGATTTTGCAATCGTTCGATTCCTGGACCACACGATTTTTTCTTTTTTTGCGTTTTAGTTTTTCAATTTCTCGATTTTTAATTTTTCAATTTTACCAATGTTAATTTTTTCGATTTCTTAGTTTTTCATTTTTACGGTAATAATGCAATTTTTACATTTTTTTATTTTTCAAATTCTTGTTTTTCATTTTCGAATATTTCAATTTTCTGACAAAAGAGCAAATACCAAAAATCCATCGTCAAATTAAAATCGAAAACTCGTAGTCCTAAATCAAAAAACAGAAAAACCAAGAAAGCTTCAACTGTTCAAAAAATGGTAGCAGTTTAAAACGAAAAAAAAAATGGTCGAAAGTTGTTTCGACAGAATTTCCCTCGCACCAAAAGTACTAAAAATAACAGTATTTCAATCATGTTAATATTTCACGTGGATTATTGTCACTAAGTGCACGCCACTCAATATTTCACGAATAATTAATTCCAGTTGTAGTTCTAGTTTTAATACTTAGAAAAAAAGTCAAAGACTAGAGTAGTAGGGTTTTTTAAACAGCATACACTAATTTTTTTTTATTCATAAAATAATAACAAAAAGAACGTAGTATTTTTTATAAAAACGTGTTCTCATTTTCAAAAGTTAAAGCACGAAAATAAAACTAATTAGTTCTACGTTTACCCATATTTTCAGTAACCCACCACTAGAGGACAGCACCTCTCGGAACTTAGTATGGACTTCCATCAACGGCTAAAATTGACGCCCACACACGCCCCTGAAAGACCTTACAATCCACCAGTTCTCGAGTTTCATAAAAAAAATCACTGAGACTGTCAAAAAAAGCTCCAAAAAAATCCGTCCCGACGGCAAAATCTCCACCTCGCTCTCCAAACTTCAATAAAATCCGTCTAATCGGTTGCATAACCATTAACGCTTTTTCATATAGTAATCCAGCAACAATGCCGCCCACGTCCCAAGAACTCTCAGCACACAATCGCGCCAGTAAAAAACCTATGATGTATCTATTAGCCAGGCAATAAAGCTCGCTTATCTCCGACAACATTGTAAAATAATACGCTTAGCGTTTCTAAAAGCTTTTAGTATCAACTCCTATTTACTTTTTAATGCTGCTTGTTCCTTCCTTTGACACTAAACCCGACGTTTTTAAATAGAAACCCGTGCCGAGAAATTAATCAAACGGGCACGAAGTAACGAAACACCGCGAAAACTTTTCTCCTTACCTTGCTCGGGGGCTGGATGCGGTTCTTGCTGGCCATCGCCGGGTTCATAAACCTGTTGTTTTTATTTGTTATGTATTCTTTATACGAGGGAGACTTATCAGGTAACGGGTAGGGATTAGTTACTTCACTAAGAAAGGGTTGTTTACTGAAGGCTAGTTGTAGTTTGTGTTCAGATTGGTTGTTCTTATCGTCGTTGGCGTTGTTGTGGTGTGACAAGGGCGCAGCCCCCGTTAGACCTACGGTTACGTTGTTTAAATTTTGAACACATCGTTCCACCGCCACGCTGTCGCCCATTTGTACCATGGCAGTGCCTTCTTTTGATTTGAGAAATTTTATCTGGAACAAAAATTTTCGTCATTTAACATGCCATTTATTAGTAGTACTAATGGGGTAAATTTGGAAATAACACAAATGATAATATCGGAACTATTAATCGATTTATTGCAACCGGTTCTTCATAATCTGACGTTCCATTAATTCCGACAATGATATGTGCACTCGAAGTCAGTGCTGATTTATTGGTTTAATCGAGATGTAACTTTAATTAACTTAATTAGCTTCAGTTATCCAAATACAACAGGTGTGAAACAAAAAATGTAAACTTTAGGAACCTGTTCAAGGAGCAACTTAAAATTTATTATCCATAAAACTACGCTCATTATGTGCTATAAACTTCTATAATTTGTAATTCATCAACTCTGGGATAATGCAAACAGTTCTTAAATAATTTGGAATGACTCAGATTTGATACGCTTTTATATAAATGGACGTTTTAATGGGAAAGGTCGCGATTTAAATTATTCGGAATAAAATAATGGCCAATTTAAAAGTTTATTTTAGAAAAACTAGGTATTTGTTTCTGTTGTGATATGGAGAATTCAAATTTAAAACTCCTGCGACCTGTAAACTATTTCAAGCGTAAATAATTTGGGTGTGCTATTATTAGCCGGTTCCATCTTCAGTGAAAAAATCGCTTTTCCCCCGTTTCTTTTTGTCTGTGATCAACAATTTGAGGGCGTCAACTAAACATTTTTTTAGTAAAAGCCATTCAAATTGTATGAAATAACATACTCCTATACTTGCAGTTTATGAATCTGCCTTGATTTTTTACCCTAAATATACAGAGTTTTGGCACTTTCGTGTGGTAAACTCTGTGGCCGTGCCGTAAATACATATTACTAACGTTGGTTTGATTAACTGTGGGTAGCCATTTTTGTAATACTGTGACTGGTATCTATTATATGTTTTCCAGTGGGAAAACTCACTAGAAACAGGTCTCGCGCTTTATCAATGGATTTATATGTTTGGGGCAATTGTTTGACTGTTCACCCGATTTCCGCGCACTCCGTGCCATACCAAATATAAACAAGTTAACAGAGTGTGTTTCGTAACATAATGCGTTCGAATCAAAGGTAGAGGCGCGCTATGGGTGATTAAAGTATGCCATATATAAGGAGCATTTGTTTGTTTTATGTTGATCTTATCTTGATTTTTCTATATAAAATTGCAAAAATTGAAAGCCAGATTCATGATTATATCATTCTATAGTCTATTAGAATCCTTATGCATAATTTCTAAAAGTATGGATTCTTGGTAAACAGGTGACACATTTACTCAAAAATGTTGTAAAAAAAATGTCTGAGTGTTTTTTTGTACTGAAAAATTTGGTTAAAATTTGCACAAAAAATTCTGCTATGCAGATGTCGACGTGCTGATTCCAAAAATATATGAAAAATTACGAAAAAATCCACAAAAATTTGGTATATAGGTTTCAGCGCCTGGATTCTAAAAATCTAGCATATTTATGGTTCCAGGGCAAGATTTTAGGAATATTCGGTTTGAAACTAAATTTTTGAAAAAAAATCCAAAAAAAAAAACTGACAAGGAAAGATTAGTGGGTCATTCAGGAAAAATGGTACGAGTAATAGAAGAAATGAGGCGGACAGTAACTTCTAGTGGTGGAAATCTACAAGACAATTTCTTTAGTTAGGGTTCAAATGTGGTCGAAAAATCTGAAATTTTCATTTCATGGATCTACTGAAAAATTTTGGTTTTAAAAAGGTTGCCTAAAAGTCCACAAAAAATTCTAGTAATATAAGTTTTTGCGTGCTGATTCCAAAAATATAGCATGTTTATGATCCTGAAGCAAAATTTTTGAAATACATATTCCATATATGAAATCCAATTTTGGAAAATAAAATCCAAAAAATTGTCATATTTAAATGGACGACTTCGGAAAAATAGTAGGAGGTATCCAAGAAATGAGGCCGAAACCAACTTCAAGAGGTCGAAATCCACACGAAAATGTTTTTAGTGAAGTTTCTAACGTTGCCGAACATTTCTGAAAATTTCGTGTATTGAAAAATTTTGGTTTTAGAAAAGTTGCCAAAAAATCCACCAAAAATTTTGTTATATAAGTAGGTTTCAACGTGCTTTTTCGAAAAATATACTCTGTTTACGGTCTCAGGGCGAAATTTTAGAAATATGCGGTTCGAAATTTAATTTATGAAAAATTCCAAAAAAATGTCATATTTCAATTAGTGATTCTAGAAAAATGGTAGGAGTTATCGAAGAAATGAGAACAAAGTAAGTTCTGAAGTCGAAATTCACAAGAAAATGTCTTTGGTTAAGTTTCAAAGGTGGTTGCAAAAATCCGAGATTTTTATTTTGTGTATTGAACAATTTTGGTTTTAAAAAAGTTGCCTAAAAATCCACAAAAAACTCTGGTATACAAGATTCGACGTGCTGATTTAAAAAATATAGCATGTTTGTGGTCCCGTCGCAAAATTTTTGAAATATTAGATTCGAAATTCAATTTTTGAAAAAATCAAAAAAAGTGTGATATTTCAATAGGCGATTCAGGAAAAATAGTGGAACTTATCGAAGAAATGGCACCCAAAATAGCTCCAGAAGTTGAAACCTTCAAGAAAAAATCTTTATTTGAGTTTCGAATGTTGTCGAAAAATCTGAAATTTTCAATACGTGGATCTACTGAAAAATTTTGGTTTAAATAAACTTGCCTAAAAGTTCACAAAAAATTCTAGTATTATAGGTTTCGGCTTGCTGATGCCAAAAATATAGCGCGTTTATGATCCTGGGGCAAAATTTTTGAAACACATTAGGTATGAAATTCAATTTTTGAAAAAAAAATTCCAAAAAACTGTCATATTTAAATGGGCAATTTCGGAAAAATAGTACGAGTTATCGAAGAAATAAAGCCGAAAACAACTTCTAGAGGTCGAAATCCACACGCAAATGTCTTTTTAGTAAGGTTTTGAATGTTGCCGAAAATTTTTGAAACTTTCGTGTATTAAAAAATTTTGGTTTTAGAAAAGTTGCCAAAAAATCCACCAAAATTTTGTTATACATATGTATAGGTTTTGACGTGCCTTTTCTTACAATCTACTCTGTTCACGGACCCAAGACAAAATTTTGGAAATATTCGATTCGAAATTTAATTTTTTGAAAAAATCCAAAAAATGTCATATTCAATAAGCGATTCTGGAAAAATGGTAGGAGTTATCGAAGAAATGAGGACAAAGTAAGTTCTGAAATCGAAATCCACAAGAAAATAAGTATCTTTAGTTAAGTTCCAAAGGTGGTTGCAAAAATCCGAGATTTTTATTTCGTGTATTGAAAAATTTTGGTTTCAAAAAAAGTTGCCTAAAAATCCCCAAAAAACTCTGATATACAAGATTCGGCGTACTGATTTCAAAAATATAGCGTGTTTGTGGTCCTGGGGCAAAAGTTTTGAAATATTAGGGTCGAAATTCAATTTTTGAAAGAAATCCAAAAAATGTCATATTTCGATAAGCGATTCTGGAAAAATGGTAAGAATTTATTAAACAAAATTAAGCCGAAAGTAATACTTGGAGGTCGAAATCGACAAGAAAAGTTCTTTAGTGAATGAAGTTTTGAATGTGATCGAAAAATTCCGAAATTTTCGTACGAAATATCGAAAAATTTTGGCTTTAAGAAAGTTAAATAAGAGAAAAAGAGAGAAAGAAAAAATCTTTAATCAAGTTTCGAATGTTGTCGAAAAATTTGAAATTTTCATTTCATGGATCTATTGAAAAATTTTGGTTTTAAAAAAGTTGCATAAAAGTTCACAAAAAATCTTGTATTATAGGTTTCGGCGTGCTGATTCCAAAAATATAGCGCATTTATGATTCTGGGGCAAAATTTTTAAAATACATATATTCGGCATAAAATTCAATTTTTGAAAAAAAAAAATACTGTCACATCTAAACGAGGCCCAAACCAACTTCAAGAGGTCTAAATCCACACGTTTTTATGTATTTAAAAATTTTGGTTTTAGAAAAGTGGCCAAGAAATCCACCAAAATTCGGTTGTATGGATTCCGACGTACTTTTTCGAAAAATATACTCTGTTTACGATTCCAAGACAAAATTTTAGAAATATTCGGTTCGAAATTCAATTTTTGAAAAAAAAACCAAAAAATATCAGATTTCAATTAGCGATTCTGGAAAAATGGTAGAAGTTATCGAAGAAATGAGAACAAAGCAACTTTTGAAGTCGAAATCCACAAAAAAATGCCTTTAGTTAAGTTTTAAAGGTGGTTGCAAAAATCCGAGATTTTTATTTCGTGTATTGAAAAATTTTGGTTTCAAAAAAAGTTGCCTAAAAATCCCCAAAAAACTCTGATATACAAGATTCGGCGTGCTGATTTCAAAAATATAGCGTGTTTGTGGTCCTGGGGCAAAACTTTTGAAATATTAGGGTCGAAATTCAATTTTTGAAAGAAATCCAAAAAATGTCATATATTTCGATAAGCGATTCTGGAAAAATGGTAAGAATTTATTAAACAAAATTAAGCCGAAAGTAACACTTGGAGGTCGAAATCGACAAGAAAAGTTCTTTAGTGAATGAAGTTTTGAATGTGATCGAAAAATTCCGAAATTTTCGTACGAAATATCGAAAAATTTTGGCTTTAAGAAAGTTAAATAAGAGAAAAAGAGAGAAAGAAAAAATCTTTAATCAAGTTTCGAATGTTGTCGAAAAATTTGAAATTTTCATTTCATGGATCTATTGAAAAATTTTGGTTTTAAAAAAGTTGCATAAAAGTTCACAAAAAATCTTGTATTATAGGTTTCGGCGTGCTGATTCCAAAAATATAGCGCATTTATGATCCTGGGGCAAAATTTTTAAAATACATATATTCGGCATAAAATTCAATTTTTGAAAAAAAAAATACTGTCAAATTTAAACGAGGCCCAAACCAACTTCTAGAGGTCTAAATCCACACGTTTTTATGTATTTAAAAATTTTGGTTTTAGAAAAGTGGCCAAGAAATCCACCAAAATTCGGTTGTATGG